AATTTAACCTCTCTACCAGCGCTTTCCTCCTTCGAACCTTCCCCTTGTGTTTATTTTAAAACTCATTACCTTGGAGGGGGAAAAAAAAAATTGTTTTCAATCCTTAAGGGCAAAACTGTTAATTGCTTTGAGCAGGAAGACATCTGATCTCTCCCAGCTATCCCCTGCTTCTTGCCAAGCAGAACAAATATCTGCTGGTAAATCAAATACCTGCGCAGAGAGAGGGAGAGCACAGCCCTGGGCGGGTGCGGGAGGAGACGCTGGGGTTGAGCAACGAGCGCGGCTGTCCGAACGAGCGGATGACACCGGTGCGATCAATGGGGACCATTGTCGGGTGACACAGGGGACAATTACAACGCGTGATTGCACTCAGTGTAACTCTGCTCCATCGTTTCCACCTTCCCCGAGCACCGGGAGCCGGGACAGAGCCCCCCCGCCCCAGCCCCTGCCCGGCTGTGCCGGTCGCGTCCCCCCGGAGGATGCTCGGGAAGGGTCCCCTCGCAAACCACTCGGAGCTGGCTCCGCAGCCAAGAGCTGTCAGCCAAAACGGCTTCGGGAATCCAGAGGTGGATCTAGATCGAGGCGTCGGTAACCAGCCCTGAGCCCTCGGAAGCTCTGATGTTCAGCTCGCTTTAATTCCTTTCTAGCGTCTGGAGATAAACGCGAATTATCGTTAATGCAACGCCTTTCTCTTGGCTCCGGGTCTCATCTGGGGCAAGGCGATGAAACAATAATCTCCCAGCCTCTGACACATCAAACATTCCCTCGGTGTACACCTCGTTTCGGGGCAAAACTTACACTGGATGCACACTCTGATTCCATTTTCCTGCCTTTCTTTTTCCAGTCAAATCGGGAGCCTTATCTTCCTTCCCTGAACGATGTCCGCACGCCAGCCTCGCGGCGGGTCCTTAAAAAACCCTCCTGTCTCTAGAAAACGGATTATTAACCAAATCGGTCATAAAAGGAGGGAGGAATGCTCGTGAGGTTTTCCCTCCCGGAGAATAAACTCGCTCCCACTGCCCGCGGGCGTTTTGTGCTCCCGAGGTGTCTGTGAGGGACAGGGGCTGGTGCTTTCGGGGGCTGGGGACAGGGGACATCGTTCGTGTAAGGTCCCAGTGAGTTCCTTCCTGATTTACACCGATCAGAGGAGGGAGGGGGGCACTGGACATCCCTCTCCCCCAAATCCACCGTCCCCGGCTATCCCGCACGGACGATGCTGCGGAATTTCGCGGCGGGGATGCTGCTCCCCGCTTGATGGATACAGGAGCGAGGATGCTGCGGCAGTGCCCGCCCGACACCTCCCTCCGCCTCCAGGCTGGGAAAAGCGAGGCGGAGGTGGGCCCGGGGGCAGCCTGGAGCCCGGGGGAGGCAGAGGGGGAGGCGGAGCTGCCCGGGACGGGCCGTCGCTGCTGCTGCTGCTGCTGCTGCTGCTGCTGCCGCTGGAGCCGGTCAAACTGCACAGCCACTTCCCCCAGGAGCTTCCCTTTCATCTCCCCGCTCCTGGCGCCTGCAAAACAGCCTCAGTTTGTCTGCAGCGTCTCTCTTCCCCCTGCGCTCCCTCCCTCCCCGCCCCGCTCCAGCTGAGAGCCCCAGGACCGGGGGCGCCCAGAGCCCGCCCCGGCTCACGGGGCTGATGCTGCAGGAGGGCGGGGGAGAGGCAGAGGGGCACGGGGGGCTGAGGGATTCCTGGGTACCCACCCCTAGGACATGGCTGTGGTCCGTGCAGACCCAGATCCTCCCCCCAGAACCGGCGCCGTCCCGCCCCGGGCCTGGGGTCTCAGCGGGGACGCGAACGGGGAAAGCCCCCGGACTCACGTCGTTCCCTCGGGCTGGGAGAATTCCCGGCTAGTCTGAGCCTGGGCAGCCGCTCTGGGGTCCTGGATAGGGGGCAAAGCCTTAATTCCTAGAAATTTCTCTCTCCAAACGCCGTCTCGGAGAGGTTTCCGTGCGGACATTCAGAACCGCTGGGGCTTCATCCTCTGATGTTTGACTGACTGCAGGAGGATGGAGGAGCGGAGGGGTGAGAGAGGAGAGGAGAGGAGAGAAACCTCTAGGTTCAGCCTTTAGACAGAAAATGCTCCAATTTCGCGATAGACTGAAGCTGAAGAGGGAAAACACCATGAGCACACCCTGCCATGCTTTGCTATCCTTGTGACGCCCAAAATTCAGCCAGACCAGGCTGGATGAGCCAACCTGTGCTCCGTGCTCCACACCTTGTCCCTCGATCCCCTTTTTCCCCTCCGGCCTCCCAAGGCATGGCAGCGCTGAGGAGCCTCTCCAAGCCCACCCGGGCCACAAGCGGGCACCTGGGGAGAGAACCTGCAGCCAAGGGACGTGCTCGGTGTCACCATGACCCCGAGCTGCGGTTCTCCAGGCGCCCTTCCAGCGGGCATTGACTTCGGGGGCGCGGTGTAATTATCTGCGGCATTTTCAGCAGCCCCACAATGGCTTTCCACGGGCGGTGCATTGTTCCCGACACACCGACATTGTTCCTGCGTGTCCATCAATTCTCATTTACTTGTCACGGTGCAGGAAGCATGGAGAAGGGAAAGGAAGGGAAAGAGGGGGGAGAAGAGGGACGAACTCAGCCCCACTGCAGCAGCAGAGCTTTGCAAGGCCGGGTTGCTGTCTCTGTGAGTGTCTCCCAGCAAAGAGATGGATTCTGTGGGGAAGGAGAAGTGACAAACTGGGGGTAGCAAGAGCAGCTGGAGAGGCATCAGTTTGTGGCATTACTATTATTATTATTATTATTATTATTATTATTATTATTATTATTATTATTATTATTATTGTTATTTCTATCCTCGAGGAAAAGCGCGAACCGGGCTCTGCCGGCTGAAATCTTGCAGCCAGGCCAGCTGGACTGAGGCAGAGGAAAGCATCACTTCTCTTGGCAGATTTTTAATCTTTAACCCATCGAGGTGTGCAGTAACACTGCCAGCAATCCGTAATGAGTGTGCAAACCCTGCTATTAGTGCCACTGCTGAGTGGGGTTTTGTAACACGGCTTCTCATACACGTCCTCCCACGCTCCTTCCCACACGGCAATCCCGTGCCCCGGTCCCAATTTGCTGTCCCTGGCACCAGGAGCGATGTTATCGAGATTTGGTGGCTGAGCAGCGGGGAGGGATGAGCAGGACTGCCAGGGCTCGGGAGCTCCCCTGGGCCCAGCACAGGGCACTCCCTACAGCCCCATCCTCCTGATGGGAACTCGCAGGGCTGGGGACTTCCAAAACTGCTCCATGACAGGCAGGGAAATCAGGAGTCCGAATGGAGCTGATTAAACCTCCGTGTTTTTTGGAAGGGATATATCCAAAAGTTCGTGCAGCCGTGCAGGGCCGAGCCCGCAGCTTTGAGCTGGCCCTGAATTCGGGGTTTGGGGAGAGGAGTTGTGCCTGTCGTCTTCTCAGTGATTTTTAGTGGCTCTAAAAAGCACCCTCACTTATAAATTATAACACCAAAACAGCTCCCAAACTCCGTGCACCCTGGACGTTAAAAAACAAAAGAAAAAAAAACAGAAACAAAAAAAATAAAAGAACACCTGAGAAAGTTGCGGGCGCAGCACGAAATAACGCCCGGCTTAAGATTAAAATAATTATGAAAAGAACAATGTGTATTCGCTTTTATCCGCGCTGTAATTATAAAAGCTTTTTAAAGGATACTCTTTATTCATACCACTGGTAGGAAGTCAAAAAGTGAGAGAATCGCTTTCATAGTACTGGTTTGATATGACTTTTAATTAAGGGCTGCGTGCCCCTAATTTATTAAAGCTCATCTTTTCATCACGTGTGTAATTGACTCTGGAAAAAAAAATAATAATTACAGATCTAACCTCTGCAGAGTGGTTTTGCCCGACTTGGGTCCTGCTGCCGTGGAAACGCAAACAAGAAAAAAAAACTTGGATGAGAAAAAGCAGCGGCGCAAACAGAGGCGCCCGAGTTTCTCCGGGGGTCCGCATCCCGTCTCCTTCATCCCGAACCCCAGACCCAGACTGCGGGGAACGGACTCGTTTTTGGGGGAGAAGGAGGAAAGGGGCGGGAGGGTCGGGGGTGCGGCGGTCCCCGACCCTGGCTCCTGGGATAAACCGGGATGTGCCTGAGGGCGCCCCGGGATAAACTCGGGGGTGCCAGGATGATCCCGCGTGTACCGGGATGAACTCGGGGGTGCCCCAGGATGAGCTCGGGGGTGCCGGGATGAGCCTGAGGGTGCCCCGGGATGAGCCTGGGGTGCCCCGGGATGAGCCTGGGGTGCCCCGGGATGAGCTCGGGGGTGCCGGGATTATCCCGGGGGTGCCCCGGGATGAGCCTGGGGGTGCCCTGGGAGGAGCCTGGGGGTGCCAGGATGAGTTCAGGGGTGCCGGGATTATCCCGGTGGTGCCGGGATGAGCTCGGGGGTGCCCCGGGAGGAGTCTGGGGGTGCCGAGATGAGCTTTGGAGTGCCCTGGGTTGAGTTCGGGGGTGCCGGCATGATCCCGGGGATGCCAGGATGAGTTCGGGGTGCCGGGATGATCCCGGGGGTGCCCCGGGAGGAGCTGAGCCGGTGGCGGGGCGATGAGGAGTTGGGGGGGGGGCAGAGCCGCGCTCCTCTGAAGTTCCCTCTTCGCTTCATCATCATCATCATCCTTAATTACCGCAGCGAGGTTTTTTTTATTATTTTTTTTTCCCCCTTGCTTCGCTGTGATTACAGCCCTGCACGGCTCCTCGGCGGGGCCGCCCGCGTCATTAACCCCGTGTCATTAATTGAGAACGGGGGGGGGGCCGGGCCGGGAACTCCCCGCGAGCGGCGCCGGCTGGCCCCGCCCCCTCCTTTCGCTCCTAGCCAATGGGGAGCGGCCGTGCTCTACGTCACGCGGCAGGGCGGGCTCTGATTGGGCGGCGGGGCGGCTCCCCCGCTCGCCCAGGCAGGACAGCGGCGGGCAGCCCCAGAGGGGGAAAAGGGGGGCGGCCGGGCCCGCTCGCCGCACTCGCCGGGCAGCGCCAGCTCCAGCTCCGCCGCACCGCCATGGCTTCCCCTCACAAGGCCAAGGACGCCTTCTCCTCCTCCTCTTCCGACGAGGAAGGCGCGGCGGCCGGCGCCGAGGAGCACCACAAAGTGAAGGTGTCGAGCCTGCCGTTCAGCGTGGAAGCGCTCATGTCCGACAAGAAGCCGCCCCCCAAGGAGCCGCCGCTGCCCGCGGCCGGCGGCAGCGCCGACGGGGCGGCCGTGGGCACCTCCAGGAACCTGCTGCTGGCGGGCCACGGCTCCCGGGACGCGCACAGCCCGCCCGGGGCGCTTACAAAAACCTTCGACACCGCCTCGGTCAAGTCGGAGAATTCCGAGGATGGCTCGTCCTGGATCCCTTCGGAGGCCGGGAGATATTCCCCGCCGCCAAGTGAGTCCTCCGGGGGCGGGCGGGATGCGCTGCAGCACGGACATAAATATGTGCTTTTAATTTATCCTACATAGCTCCTATATTTTATATCCTGTATTCCCATCCCAGTGCTCGAGGCCGGGGCCCTGAGCGAGCTGGGAAGGGAAAGGGGAAGGGAAGGTGTCGCTGCCTATGGAAGGAGATGATTTTTAAGGTCCTTTCCAGCCTAAAACGTTCTGCCATTCCGCTGTACTTTTATAGGTATTCACAAATGTGTCGACTTTAGGTAGATGTTACATATTTATTATTGTATCTTTATATTACTGTGTATTTATAGTGTTAAATGTCTCTAGACGTGGCTACACGGATGTATATGAATACAGACAGCTTTCAAAGCCTTATAAAAATCAGAAATCACCAGAAATTCCTGTCCCGACTCACGGCCCCTGGCAGCCAGCTCGTCCTTTTATGTTATCCCCTTGCAACAACAGCTGGAATTTCTCCCTGTGCCTTTCTCCCATCCGCGGTGCGCAGCAATCCCTTAAACTCGGGAATTCCAGCCTTGAGCCGGCTCCCGGCGCGGGGTTTGTCCAGCCCCGGTTCCGGAGCTTGTCAGAATTCCCCGAGCTGGTCCTGACCCCTTTGGCCCCCGTCCCCTCCTTAGGGACACTCGGTGCGGAGGGGACAGGTCACTTCTGAACCCCCGAGCCGCGTGTCGCTTTCGGTGCCATCCCTTATTAAAAAAAAAAAACAAAAAACAAAAAAAAAACCGACAGGGGGTAAAACTTGTTTTTAAGGAGTTAAAAGCCCCAAAACATCCTTCAGGAGAAGGAGCATCCCGGCCGTGCCAGGACGCACACCTGTGTCAGGATTTATCCGCTCTGCTCCGAGCATCCCTAACGTGCCTGCTGGAAATGAAATATTCTGCTTTATTTAACTTAGAGACTCCACAGGCGCGAATTGTCTCACGGAATTTACTCCTCAATCTAATATTGCGACAGGAAAGTTTAGTGTTGTTACAACTTTCCTTGGTGTTTTTTTTTTTTTTTACAACAATTTCGATTTGGCTTTCATACACTTCCCTTCTTTGATGATAACCCCGAATTAATTTGATTTCTATCGTGCTGGGAGAGGGCAGGAGAAAGGCATCCCGCCTGTAGCATTCCTTGTGTAGCTCCAGTTTTTAATTTTCACGTACTCTCAAATGTGCTGGAAAAACACAGAAAAAAGAGTTTGCTTCTACTTGGACTCCTTCTCTAAAACTTCCCGGACTTAGACACGGCCTAATAATGTCCCAGTACATTTTTTTCCCCTTCGAAATTCCTCCTCTTTCCCTTTTAAAATGTTTTTTTCTTGGGATCGGCAAAAGAGATTTGTAAAGAACTTCGGTAGTTGAGAGTTCTCGTCACTTCAGAGGGATTTGGGGAGACAACTTAGGATCAGGGAAGGTCCTTTGGCCTCGAGAATTTTCCTCATTTTCCACCTCTGCAGGAGGCAATGACCGATTCTCCCGCAGGAAAACCGCCTGTCCAATGGAGAGTATTAAACATTAAAAGCGGCCTCTCTATTTATTTTTATTAATAATATTAATATTATGGGTGGGATGAGCTGGTGGAAAAGCCGTAGAAGTTCGAATTTTGAGGAACACGGAGAGGGAAACCTCTCCAAATGATGGGTTTTTTGGGTTTTTTTGGCCGATATTGGCCAGGAAAAGGAGGACACAGAGAATAAAAACAGCAAAGCAAATGAGCGAGGGTTTGGGGACTGGCACGGGATAAACGCAATTCCGGGGCTGTGGTGGCCACGGTCCCTGCGGCTTCTCAGAGCCTGGCAGTGCCCGGGGATGGATGTGTCCCCGGGGATGTGTCCCCTGGGATGTGTCCCCGGGGATGTGTCCCTGGGGTGTATCCTGCAAGGAATATTCCCAGGGATTTCACAGAAAAACGCGTTTGTGCTCCCGAGCGCGGTGGGAGCTGGGACAGGGAGCCACGGGCACCCCAAACCTGGCCCTGCTGGGAGGGCTGAACTTTGGGAAAAGTGAGGAGTTGGGTTCAAAAATAGAGGCAGGGAATTCAGGGTGGCTTTGCTGTAGTTTTAATTTAGTGCCGTTTTAGAAGTGAATCAGCTGAGCACCTGAATTATTAAAATAATTCAGGATCACAGGCCAGTATTTGAGAAGTTGTCTCCTAGAAAAGCTTTATTTTTGCGTTTTCAGTAGTTCAGTATTTTGTCTTCTAGAGGAAGAGCAGTAAGAGAAGCTTAACTTCTTTTCCCTTCCCTTTCTGTTGTTTAGAACAATTCCCTCGTGGGATTTTTTAATTGCATGAAACGTGCTTAAACAACTTCTTAGTCTGGCTTATTTAAAAAAAATTAAAAAGTGAAACGAGCAGAGAAAACCCAGAGTGCAAATACAAGCGCTTGAAGCAGACACAACAATGTGGACAAAATTCAGCAGTTGGGTGTCACTTGCTGTGTCCAGTCAGGGTGACTTGTCCTGTGCCCTGGGAATGAGCAAAGCACAGCCAAATCACCGAGCTTTTGAAGCCAGCCGCCTGCTTTTTAGTTATTCTTTAGATTGCAAAATTATTAGTGAAGTGCTAAATTAATCTAAAGGCAAGTCAGAGCTCTGCCATCTCCCGGGAATATTGCCTAACTTGGCTGGGGTTTAAGGCAGGCACAAAAGGTGGATTTTCTGGCTTTTATTGGCTACGAAATGCTGAAGTTTTGTCTGGGTTTTGCTTTATTTTTTCATTGGCAAATGTTATAAAAGCTAAATGTTGAATTCAAAGAGCGCTGCTTTCTTGTTTGAGTTTGTTGGGTTTTTTTATGCTGGTTGATAATCAGAAAACACCCACTGAAAATCAAAGTTAATAAGCAGAGGAAAAAAAACTTGATTTGGAAGAAAAAAATAGCAAGAAAAAAAGTCCAGCTAGTGAAAACATAGAAATTGTCAGATCTTCTTCAGCTGTCACTTGTTGTGCTTAGTGGGGAAATCCTGGAGCAGGGCTGGGCTCTCCTCTTGCCCCTCTGTCCTTTTGGGAATCTCCTGCTTCTGTGGCGTTTGTGCTGTGCTTTCCTGGAGCTGTGCAGCAGCCGGGACAGTTGGTTTGTGTGCTCCAGACCCCCGTGAAGTGACTCCCAAAGCGACCTGCGAATCCTCTGTCCCTTTTGAAATCCCTGAGGCAAAATTCCCCTCGGCAGCTCATCAGCCCCGAGCGCTGTGAATTTTCAGGAAAAGATTCCCAGAGCCCCTCGCTGAAGGATCCCGTGTTTGGAGGGGATCCCTGGGAGCCCTGCAGAGCTCCGGGGTGATGCTGCTGTGATAACCGGCCTCTCCCTTCCTTGCAGGACACCTGAGCCCCACTGCCTGCACCCTGAGGAAGCACAAGACGAATAGGAAGCCCCGAACCCCGTTCACCACTTCCCAGCTGCTGGCTCTGGAGCGCAAGTTCCGCCAGAAGCAGTACCTGTCCATCGCCGAGAGAGCCGAGTTCTCCAGCTCCCTCAACCTCACAGAGACCCAGGTCAAAATCTGGTTCCAGAATCGGAGGGCCAAGGCCAAGAGACTGCAGGAGGCCGAGCTGGAGAAGCTCAAAATGGCAGCGAAGCCCATGTTGCCATCGGGGTTCAGCCTCCCCTTCCCCATCAACTCCCCCATCCAGGCTGCCTCCCTGTATGGCACATCCTACCCTTTTCACAGACCTGTGCTCCCCATCCCGCCCGTTGGACTCTACGCCACTCCCGTTGGATACAGCATGTACCACTTATCCTAAGAAGATACCACAGACAAAGCCTCAGACAGACAGACTTCCTGGTGGATCCTGTCCAGCCCTGAGAAGGCAGAACCCCAACCAGTACTGGCCATTCTTTCTGCACGCTTCTATCTGGCACCTGGGAGTTTGCTACGGGTTGGGCGTCTCCTGAGAGTGCTCTGAGCACTCAGAGTCTGCTCCTCAAAGCAAAAAAAAAAAACAAAAAAAAAACCCGCAAAAAAAAAAAAACAAACCAGGCATAAAAACCAACCTAAAAAAAATTTGAGTAAATGTAGGGGTTTCATCTAATGCAAGTAAAACTAGGTTAAAGAAAAGAACGGGTGAAAAAGCAATTTTATCATACGGAGGCAGCAATTCCCTGACACCTCCCTGGCGGGGTTTAAAATGAGAGGGGTGTGTGCCCTCGAGCCACGCTCTAAGTTGCCATCACTTCACACGGGGGCAGGGGGGAGGGAAATAAAAAGGTCTGATGGAAGTTTTGTTGTTCGGTTGTTTTTTTAAAGACAGCAGAGCCCGTAGCTAGAGACGTGTAAATAGAAACTAGAGCCGGTAGAGTCTCAGTGAAGTTCAGAGCCAGCAAATTCCTGCATTTCTGGGGGGAGGGAGAAGTTTTGCATCCCGAACCTCGGCGAGATGAGGGCCCCTAAATGTAGAGCCCAGCTTTCCCCACCGTGGCTCCTGTAACGCCTTTCTGTGTATAAATAGCTTCAGCCTTTGTAAAGCACTGGCAGGGGAGGTGAAGAGCAAGGGAGGGTTCTTAGGCAGGCTGGTTTTTATCTCTTCCTATTGGCATGCTTAGAAATTTTTGGCTGCAGCCAGGTAATCTTGGCTCTGCAATGCTCTTGGAAAACCTGGAGAGAGGGGAGAAAGACATGGGTTGTTCCTATAAAGGATTGCTGAATCCTTCTGAGGGACGTTATGGGGTTTTTATTATTTGTATTTGCCACAGCCTCTGTTAAAGAGAAGAACCCCCCGAATTTTCTTCCCTTTTAAGGATGCCAATAGAAGTGACTCGTGCTTTAAGCCCTTCTAAAGAGGGATTTGGGTGTCACAATCAGTCCCACGAGCAGGACAGTGGGGTGAGAGAGACTGTGTGACCTGCCTGTCCCCGTGGGAGCTCTGGCAGCAGCTTCCCCAGGCTTCTCCTTGTAACTCTTGTATTATTTGTATTACTCTTGCTAAACTTTATGAGGAAGTTACTCCCAAGGCTGTGGAGCACTGAAGTCAGAGCTTCTCCTGGATTTATTTTCTTAGCATGCTGTTGTGGAGGAAAGAAACAAAACAACAAAAAAAATCAGAAAAAAGAAAAGGAAAGAAAAAAAAAAAAAAAGCCACGAGGTTTTGCTGGTTTTGGTTTGTTTTGACCCAGGCATTGATGCCGCCTGGGACCCACTGTAGATGAACTTCCTCTCTCCCTTCCCCCTCACCCCTGATCTCCCATTATCGGAGAATCCCTTTGAAAGGGATGCCTTGTACAATTTTATATATTTTATTGAAGATTTATTATTTCTTATCTCTTATTTCGAATTAAATTAAAAAAGAAAAAACATGTTTAATCGCGTGTGGGTCTGTTAGTGTTTGGAGCCCTTTGAAAGGTGCCTTCTCTCCGTGTGTGTTTTGCACCTCTGGGTCAAGTTCAAAGGAATGTTTGGGTTGCCTTTATGATTATTTCCCCTTTCTCAATCTGATTTAAAGCCAAATTTGCAGCGCATGAAGGTGAATTGCAAGTCAACATTTTGGAGTCAAAAGCCAAAGCTTTTATGAGGTTTCCTTGTTTTTAACAACCACTTTTAGGCGCCTCTGTTCTTTACAACACCATGCTCCGGTGATGTTTCCATCACTTTTAGCTCGTGTGACTTCTCCTTTCTTTGGGAGCTCGACTCCACCTCAGCTCTGTGCTTTAGAGGGAGATGGGTCTCGACTCCCGAAGGATTTGGGGAAGAATTTGGGACAGGTAAAACCTGGCGGTGCTCCAGCCGCATTTCAGGGCACTGGGATGCTGCTCTGTCCCAGTTTGGGGGCCAGGCTGGGAGAGCAGGCGCTGGACCACCCTGCCCTGGCCAGGGGGGCCGAGTGCCACGGCATGGAAATGTCACAGGAGGGATGTTGGGGTTAGGAGGGGGCCCGGGAACAAACCAGGTGTGTTTGTCCCTTGATCAGGTGCGTTTTCCCCCTAACCAGGTGCGTTTTCCTCCTAACCAGGTGTCTTTGCCCCTGACCGGGAGTGTTAGCCCCTAACCGGGTGTCTTTGCCCCCTGACCGAGTGTCTTTGCCCTCTTGCCCCCTAACCAGATGTCTTTGCCCCTAACCAGATGTGTTTGCCCCCTTTGGGGCTTTTCTGGGTGCGTTTTCCCCGTTCCGGGCGTGCGGCTCCCGCAGGCTCCGCCGGAGCTGGAACTGCGGGAATTCTCCCACATCCCGGCTGCCTCAGCATCCTTCAGGATCGGGATGAAAAGGGTCGGGGAATGAGACACTTGGCCAGCCGGACTGTGGGGAAGGGCTGCGAGCTCGCCCTGCTCGCCCCTCTCCCAGAAAAACCCCGCTTGGTAAATGTAGGGAACAAAGCTGGGGGAGAGCCCAGCCTCCACGCAGACTCTTCAAATGACAATTTACGGCCGCATAAAAACGGGAGAAAACCGCTTCTTTCCCTGATTCCCTTTTCCCGAAGCATCATCCCCCGAAATCCGGGGCAAGGCGAAGTCCCCTCGGCCCTGCCCTTTCCCGGCCGCTTGTCCCGAGTGTTTCCTTAGCCAGGCTGGGCTATAAATAAACCAGCGGTGTTTTTAAACTTTCGGTATAAATCAGCTGTGTCAGGGATTACAGCTAAATCTTTTTGCTGGAAATTCTTTGAGCGCGGGAGCTTTGCGTGTGTTATGAGAGATCCCTAAATGGATACAGATTTATTGCGGCACACAAGAGTGTTGAAGGAAAAGCTTCCAAATCTCGGTTACAACCTCGGCTCTGGGAAAGGCAGGAGGGATCCGTGACACCTTCCCGGAGCCTGCGGATGGCATGACAATTCACCCTGCGCCCATTATTAACTTGTTCCAATTAAAGCCTTCAGAAAGGCCGAGTTAATTGAGTATTATATTTTATTAGGAGGGAGGTGTCAAGCTTTACTCATGAGACTTCATCATCGTCCTAATGGGAGCTGCCCCGCAGGCAGATCTGTAACTGAATAAATTACAGCGAGGCAGGGAAATCAGAATGCTATCATTAAAAGCGATGCACTTACTGAAATTCCTCCCCCACTTTCGCAAGAGGCTGGGGAGGTGTGGCTTTAATTAGTTATTTTAATGCAAAGTTAAATTGTTCCCAAAGTATTTTCTGACACAAAGCAGATGCGATGATTAGAAGTTGAGTGAGACTGAAAGGAGTTGGCACATGTTCCAGGTACATCTATATATTTTAAATTCCCAATAGAAAGTGAAAAATAATTAGAGCAATAAATAATAAACATTAAAATCAACGCGATAAATTATCCCCATCCTTAAAATCCGGACTTGCTGAGCGGCGGCTCAGGCCAGCCGGGCACCTTCAGTCACCGGGGATGGATTTGTTGACATAAACATTTGGGATTGGGCTTTTCTGCCTCGCTCCGGCCAAGCGTTCATTACCTAAAGCCACGGGCGCTCCGAGCCTGCATTTCATGTTGTCACGTCGCCTTGTCAAAGCCCGGAATTCCTGCGTTTTATGGCGAGCGAGGAAAACGGGGCTGGCTGCGAGCGGAATGCCCGGGAGAGCGGGGAATTCTCTGCGCTGCGAGCAGGGGACAGCGGGCACCCAGAGACCCCCGAGCCACGGCCCCGACCTCGGGATGGGGATGGGATGGGATGGGATGGGATGGGATGGGATGGGATGGGATGGGATGGGATGGGGATGGAAATGTAGATGAGGATGGGGATGGGGATGAGGATGAGGATGAGGATGAGGATGAGGATGAGGATGAGGATGAGGATGAGGACGGGGATGCTCCCAGCGCTTCCCCCACGGAGCCCACCCGGGGGACTCAGGTCCCCTCCAGGCCAGGCAGAGCCGGCTGGCGAGTGGAGCCCCGCAGCAGCAGCAGCAGCAGCATCCCGGCTCCCAGCCCTCTCCCGAGCCTTTGGTTCCATCGTCCCGGGGGTTCCCACGGCCCCCCAAATCTCTGGAGCGTGGATCTGGATATTCCACATCCCCACACTGTCCGTGCCTCTCACACGAGCGCCACAGGCGCTCCAATGTCCCATCGCACACACCTGGGGCTCTGCAGGATTTTGGGGGTGAGTGCTGGACATGCTCTGCAGGAGGAGGGGAGCCCACGGAGGGGATGGATGAGGAAGAACGACCAGAAAGCGCCGAACTCTGGGGCCCTGCGCCTTCGGGAGGGGCTCCAAGCCGCGCATTCGTGCCCTGGCTGCGCACAAGGAGCCAGAGGGTCCGCGGAACAACCGCGGTGGATCCACTCCCACCCCTCTCGGGGCTGCTCTGAGAGACAAGTGAGCATTTTGCTTTCTCTAAAGTGTATTTCCCCTCTCTATTTGTTCCGCGTTTAGTATCCCCAAAGACTAACGTGGATGTCTTTCATTAAAAAAAAATTAAAATCATTAAAAGCACCAAAAAAAAATCTCCCCAAACAAATAACACCCAGCATTCTGTGTCCCTCCCGTTCCTACGCTCAATGTCAGCCACGGAGACTCCAAAAATGCCTTTTCCGGGGGTCACTTTTGCAAGTTAACCTACTTTCGGCAGCGCCCACATTCTTGGCGTAGGAAGCCTCTCTCGCAAAATAAAAACAAAGAGGTTATTCCAGACTTTTTTTTTTTTTCTCCCCCATTTTTCCATTCCAGAGCAGAGGGGGCATATTTTTCCAGTGAGGGATCTCAGGGAAACTGCTCAGCTCATCCCAGCGCTGCTAAACCCAGGAGGAGCCGCTCCACGGTTCACGCTCCCTTTCGCTGCCGCGGGGAAAAGGCAGAGGGGAAATTTGGGGTCTTTTGTTGTTGTTGTCGTTGAGGTTTTTTTATTTCGGTTTGTGTTTGACTCCCCGAGCCCCTCGCTGTGCGTTTCCCACCGTAATCCACGAGGCTTTTGGCGGGTGCTACCAGCAGCTCCCAACTGGTTGCACGCAAGGAATAAAAATCTTTCCATCCATTATATTTCAGTCTTTTAACACCCGAGCAATTCTGT